GCCGCTGGATGCTAATTCTCATACAGCTTGTATAAAGCTCATACAGCTTGTAGTTTATTTGGTTGACGCAGACGACGCCAACTCCTAGAATTCCAAAGATCTTGTCAAGAAGTTTTCTCTCGAAAACTTCCAGTGCTACTTCAACATGTTGTGACAGCGTCCTTATTTTTGCGGCATACAGCCATACAGAAGCACAGGCAGGGGCAGAGCTTTATCGAGAGCCCATAGGCTCATACAGCTTGTAGTTTATTTGGTTGACGCAGACGACGCCAACTCCTAGAATTCCAAAGATCTTGTCAAGAAGTTTTCTCTCGAAAACTTCCAGTGCTACTTCAACATGTTGTGACAGCGTCCTTATTTTTGCGGCATACAGCCATACAGAAGCACAGGCAGGGGCAGAGCTTTATCGAGAGCCCATAGTAGCACCTAATGGTAATGGTAACTCTTCGCCTATTTTTCGGCCTGGCATCGTTGTTGTTTGTTACGGCGGTGGCAGGTTAAATAAAATCATTTACATATTCAAAAGTATTGTCGCCAGATACACAGTCAGTGTCGGAGAACTCACAATAACCAACATATACTTCATTTTGTTTTCATTCACCATTAAGTATGATTCTTCAGAATAATAGTAGCCGAATTGTATGAACATTTAGCTGGAACCTATCGTTCTCACTACCTATGAAAACTTTTAGGTGTTCTATGTTATTTATATAATTTATGATAAAACAAAGAATTTTATTACGCTTTCATCGTTTATAACTTAACCGCTCAATATATATGTATTACTTAATTATTTTATGAGCCAATTGTGGTGCATAAGCCGCTATCATACTCGCTTTCATTGTATATTAAAAAATTATATCTAACACTTATACGACGGGGCGTACGGCCAGCGTGCAATGCGGATGCCACTTTACGGTTGTGGTATTTATTTACGTCAACGGTGATTTGCTTAAATATAATAATTTTTTATTGTTGTTTCTTGCAGGCACAACAGAAACGCGCGTTTCATATTTATTGTTCTATAAATATTTAAGCGGATGCTTTGCATGGCATGCAAAATATTGATCATACGCTACGTTGTACGTTGCAGTCCTACGTTGGCTGCCGCGAAACCCATTTAATTTCCCGCTTTTCGGTTTAATTCGGCAAATAAATAAAGTATTACCAATATTAAAATGCCACTTAAAATTCTAAAATAAATCATTTAATTGATTTTAATGTTTGGCATAAAAATACGAAAACGTGGAAGCAAGTTTCGTTTCACGTTCCAAGGCAAACAAACAAAAGTTATTCTTTTTTTCAATAAATGAAAACACGTTCAATTTTGTGTTTTTTCATTGAGATTTTGTATTGAGTTTTTGTTGTGGAGTTTGTATCGCTTGCCGTAATTTTATTGTGCCACTCATGCAATAATGCAATAATGCAGCTTAAATGCATGTGTGCATGTGTGCCGTCAGTGACATTAAAACACATTTAATAGCTTTACAAATCAAAGGCTAAAATATTGCCAGAAATTGGTAGTTTCGCTACTACAACAAAAACACAAACAACAATAACAACTACAGCGATTGCACAGCGTTTACAGGAACGGCAACTATTTTACACAATTGTCCCAGGGTGAATGTGGAAGAGTGTTCTTCACCGCACCGACGTGTATGGTTAAAGTGGCAAAAGGACATTTCATTTATAATTTATCGAAAATGAGCACAACAGCGCATTTGTTGGCATTAACCCTTGTGTGTCGTACAACGCCAACTTGGCAGTTTTACGATTTTTACAATATTTTATTTTAAATTGGTATTGGAGTTGGTGTTGGTGTTGGTGTTGGTGCCACTTATATATAGGCAAATCCATTTGCATGCCGTATCCACATATCATGGCTATATGCTCATTTATATTTTATATGATAATAAGCTACGAGAATATCTTTTTAATTTTCATTTAAAATGCATTGCTTGAACCTGTCGTAAATGTGGCTGCTGCTTCTCCCGTTGCAATTCAAATTACAGCTGCACTTACCGCTCCACTTGCCACTGCAGTTGCAGTTGCAGTCGCAATAAAGTATCTACGTGCCACATGCATTCGCACATATCACAGCATTTAAATATATGAATAAAAATGGCTCTTTGTTATTTTTTTGTCACTGCAACGTGTAAAACGCGTAAATAAACAAAAACACGAAAATGTGTTTATTTGCGAAATGAGATTTAAATTAATGTGATTTGTTATTTATGCCGCTACGTGACTGCTTTTGTCGTAGCTGCTGCTCTGCTTTTGCCTTTTAATTACTAAATTAGTGTTAAGGCATAGCCGAATTGTAATAATTTAAGTTTATCCCTTACATTCGAATTCGAATTCGAATTCACTTGTTTAAGAACTGTTGTTTGTTTGCCATTTTGCTTCTGTTCTTTAGCAAGACCCCTCATCCTTTCTATCATTCATTAACATCATTAAAACAATTTTCTTGCTTCCTTTTTTATCCCACGCCAACTCAGTCCAACATTTTAACTCAATTTCAAACTCGTTTAAAATTCTAATTGATTTCAAATACATCAATGCGCTGTCGCTTTCGGTGTCCTTCTGCCATTTTGATGCAATTTACAAGCAAATTTCCCAAACTTAAAATCATTTTATGCCAAAATTTTATCTCGAAATCCCTAGTGTTGAGCTGACAATACTGTTGTATTGTTGTTGTTTTTCGTTATTGTTTTTGTTGTTATTGTTGTTGTAACTTGTAACATTCAAATACAAATTCATTGAAATTGATTATAAATTGTTGCTGTCAATAATTTTAATACACAATGTCTGTCATTCAAACCTTCCTCCACAATATCACAAACACAATTCACAACTAACATCTTACGCCTAACCCCTGTATCCACAACTACTACTGCACACATCACATATAGTGCACAGCCTCGCAGCGCCCTTACACTTGCTTAATATTCGAACTAACGAACTACACAAATAAGCATATGCAAAGCGATTGGAAATGCTTTGTCCCCAATACAATTTCCATTTGTATATGTATTTGTTTAGGGGTTCTTGTATATATGTATGTATGTATATGTTATATATGTAAGTAAGTGTTTGTATTTTGGAGTGTAGAATTAAGCTCACACAATCAGTGATTGATTGGAATGATTGATTTTTGTTGAAAAAATGTTCAATATTTATTTACTGTACTACAGACACACATACTTTTCGTCCGCCTTCTTTGGTGACACTCTGACACTCTTTGGTTCTCTTATTTGAGTTGAAATTTTTTTGTATGCTGGTTTTTTCATGCTGCTTTTGATCTTCAACTGTTTTTCGTTACTTTTTTCTTTTGTGCTGTTGCACAGTCATTACTTATTAACTAAGTACAAGGGGCGTTTAAATCACTCTAACTTCTTTAAAAGCAGTTGTAGTGCTTCTAAATTTTTATTTAAAAGTTTGTTTATATTAATACTATTAAATGTCAATAGAGAGACTATGTATTATTTAAATATTAAGAGGAGTTCCATTAACATTCAGCAGTCATCTTCACTAACTAAGGATTGTACGTATAAACCCTTTCCTTATTGCAACCTCACAAAATAGGTCAGTGATCACAAATTGCATGATCTTCAATATCAATTGACATCATCAAAACACGTAGTAATAAAAAAATGTGTATCTAATTAAAACCAAAACAGGACGTGATTGTGACACCATCCAGTTAAAACCACATAGTTTCCGCAAACCTGTCTTCAGTTTCATACCGAAAAAAATGAGAAATCTTATTACTAAAATATGTTCTTACTTACTTATTTACTTAAATGACTATAACAGCCCATTACTTACATACTTACATTGTCTTCTTTCACTAACCACCGCTTTCAATATTCTTTTCTCTAGAGTATCATCATTCATTTTCACTACATGATCGAACCAGTGATACCGCAGATGTTAATTCGCTGAATTATACCGACGATAATTTTGCGACGAAACAGTAATAATATAGTTGTTAAGAACGCGTTTGTTCTTATTAAATCGCAAATAGTTATACCACAAAAATGTTAAGAACGCGTTTGTTCTTATTGAATTGCAAATTATATCACGCTTCCAAACACTCACATAAACGCGTTGGATGATATATTTTAGTATTTTTTGTTGACTGATTGTAAACTGCCGAGCACTTAAACTCGTAGTTTTGCTTATTAATCTATTTAAAGAAATGACTACTTCAATTCTTTTGAATGTAATTTAGTCTTTATTTATTTGTATTTGTTTGAGGAATAAGTTGTTACCAGTTGCACGAGTCAAAAACAAAGAGGAAGTTTGTTAGCTTAAACCCAACACAGAAGCTGCTCTCATTACTCTAATCTAGCTTAAAGCTTACTTCATTCTCCTTTTGTTGCCAAACAGCTGTTTACTAGTGTTTGACAACGTTAAGTAGATGAAGTCTTTTATATAAATACTAAAACCAAGATTTACGTTACGGAGATTTAACAATAGTGTTAATCCTAATTATTTCCATGATTTTGATTTAAACTAAAACGAAATAAATGTAGCTTTGCTTTTCCTATATATAAGTTTCTAATACTTTTACTAAACTTTTTCGAATGACCAACATAATATAATTTACAAATTTTATTTTAAGCATTTTATCCCTTTCTTTAATAATAGTTTCATTTATTCTGAAATTTTTAAAATAATAGTTACATGTACTTTATTGATGATCTTACAGAAATAACCGATTGCCAGTGTCCTCATGCAAATCTGCGAAATTTCTTCTTTGGCAGAATTAATAAATCCTTTTAAAATTGTTATAAAAATGTTATCAAATTTAAAGAGTTATTATTCTTACATTTTATTAATAAGACATTATAACGTAAAATAATTTTAAGAAAAATGCTGTACTTCAATAATCTTATAGGATAAGTGTTCGAAGTGTTCGAAACTTATTGATTTATAAAATATTATAAGACTTAAGTATTTATATTAAAAATTCCAATATTTTGTTTATTTTTCAGGTTATTAACTTACTCACTGTAGTGCTTTGCCAAATTGACGGTATAATAAATTCTTGGCTGAACTCATGCAATAAAGAATAGCAAATCAAGAACATCCTTTGATAAAATCTGAATGATATTGTAAGAAAATGGAAAAACTGCCCAAAATGTACAAAATGCCAGAAGACGTTATGCTTAAAAGAAGAAAAGAACAACAGCTACAAAGACCTTAAAGGTGCTTAACTTTTGCGTTCGTGCATTCGTGCGTCTCTAGACGTTGATCAGGATACTCGCCAGAAAGAATTTAGGTAATAATCCAGCATGTTTATTTTTTTACTCGCTCAACTTTACTAACAATCGCATTCATCTATTATTACATATTCCTGCACGATTATTTACATGTAACAATTCTATCTTGATTTCATTTTGATTTGATGCCATGTACGCATCATTGACTATATAACAAAACGAAAATGAACCACTTTCTCTTGTCCCTCATCAGCTATGAATATTTTCATTCGGCATACTAAAACTGCCGACGCACTACGGCAGTCATTAATTTCAATTTTGCACTGCCAATTGAGCGCACAAGGACTTAAGATGCAAACACTTAAAGCAAGCCACGTACGCACTTTTACGCAGTAACCCAACCGAGGATACTGCATTGGAACACAGAATTGTTTCCGGACAAATATTTTTTATTAGATTTTTTTTCCTTATACTTTATACCAGTATATAAACGACAGCACATACATCTCCATGCTTCAAAGTAACATCATGTGCACATTTTTATTAGTGCAAATAGTGTACACTTGTGCGCGTGTAAGTGTGCCGAAGACAAGAATTATTTATTTACAAGTCAAGTGAGCCGAGTACGTTTTTCGTAAATTTATAGCAAATAAACGATGAATTAAATTACACACTTTGAGTGCAGCGCATTATAAGGCTATGTAGATCCAGCACACACGGCACACACCGCTTCCATCTGTGGCCCACATAAAGCGGAACCAGCAGGCCAATTTACGCAAACAAGACGGCACAAATGAATACATTATGACAGCCAGGCTCTGAGCAGGACGTACCAAAAGCAATAAAAAGAAAATTGCAGAAAATTGCCTATAAAGTGTATTTGAATTCGTGATACATACATCCACATTTGCAACTTTTATCCTACATTTTAACAGAACTTGCACTCAAAATTTAATATACAAATTATGAAATACGCAAATTATTCAGAAGAGTAACAAAATTTTTATGCATTTTTGGTGTTTTGATGAAACCTTGAATCAGTTGAAATTAATTACAAGAATCGACTGTTTCGATTGTAATTCCTTAGCTGCTAGCATAGCCAAAAGTACTGTACTGCTCCCTTACTGGTATTACTATAAATTCTTTAAAGGCAGTTTATACTCATATACATAAATTTCATCTCAAAACATATTTGTAATAAAAATTTTCATAAATTATTATTCGTGCATAAACAGAAATCAGCTACCGACTACATGGCCATTCCGATTACTTAAAGGACATGCTCCATGCATGTCAGGCATGTGGTGCGTGCATGCGACGGGTATGCTAATGGCATAATTTCGCTTAATAGCATTGGTGAATGTGGTGTCCGTGACGTGAACATTGAGTGCATACTACACGCAAACACAAAATAAAGGTCTTTCGTCCATCATAGCCAACATTATAATTTCTTAAACATTCTCAAGAATGTCAAAAATCTAGTCAGATTTTTTTTATTTTTTTCTAAGTTAGCTGCTTAGTCCATTATTAGATCATGCTTAGTCATAATTACTGGGGAATCCATAAATGGGAGTCCAGTAATCTTATTGTTGAATTTTGGTTAATTGTATTTTGTGAGAACAAGAAAAAAGAACATTTTTGACAATAAAAAAAAATATCTGTACGTACGTAGTTTACAAATTTACACATTATGAATTATTAGGAACAATATAGAAAGAGGACCGCCTCTGCGATAACTCTCTTTAGGCAGTCAAAGCTCTTTTTAATAGTTTAAACCATAAATGCAAAGAAGCAAGGGAAGTTTAAATAACAGTGTTTATTTATATAAAAACACTCTAAATTTGCGTGTAAGAAATGTTTTTGTTACTTAGACAAAGATTTTTATTAATGTGTTTGTAGTGCTTTTGGCATAATATAAGCTTTCATTAACTGTATTTTTCGATATTAGCAACTAATATTGTCAGAAAAGTGGCTCTAGATGGCTCTAGGATTAAAGTGGAGTAAATAAAAGACGTTAATAATCAAACAAATAACAAGAAACATAAGAAGGATATAATGTATTTAAGATTTTTAAGCAAGTCGAAAAAATAAGCATAAATGGGTGTCGATGGCAAACAATTACTGTGTGTGTAAAGGCAAACTTCCTACAAATTATGGTTCTGTATTTATACCTCATTTTTTATGATGAAATTACATTACTTATTGATCTCATCAAATGCAAATTATTAGTTTTTTTTAACGCTAACTATTCATCGCCGTACGGTTTGGTCCTACAAAGGGTTTTTTACTCTCACTCTAATGAAACTGAAACGAAAACAAGTCGTCTCGTTGCAAATAAATTTTAAATTACTCAATTGCAGTTCAAGCGAAAAGTGTAGCGTACACCAGGACGAGTGCTGGCTGGCAGAAAACCTGGAGAGATGCCGCCACATAAACCCTGCAGAAAGTCGTAAAACTGCGACTGCACTGATGCTAGGCTTTATAATTCATGCAACGATTTACAATACCCCACAACCCTCGTGCAGATTCACACACACCCATAAGACGACATCAATGAAAGGATACACAGAGTACATAAAAATCAAATTTAAATTCCATTGTAGTCCTTGCGAATTATTTTGCATTATGAGCCACTGTCATGTGTACGTATGAACATTTTCCTGCTCACACTCCAACTCCTCTCGCACTCAAACTTGAATACACACGCACTCGCACGTATACAAACACACATATACGCATGCATATGTGTTTCTTTTCATTTTCAAATTTTGCTACATTTATTTTTTGTTTTTTGTTTTCTATTTTTTATTTTTTTATATTTTTATTTCTTTTTTGAATTCGGCAATATTTTATTTTTTATTTGATTTCAAGAAGACATTCTTCGATTTTAAATGCGATTTCAATGGTCGCCGCAGATGAAAAATGTTCATCATAAATTTTAGCGCAACGTGTCAGCCCCCCTCAAAACGCTGCAGCTTATGCATATTGTATGTGGCTTGTATCCTTTTAGGGCGTTTCTTATTTATTTTCTTCCTCAAGTTGAGACATGTTTGCATGTAGCGGTTGTGTTCAAGTTTTTTGCATGACTTTTTGCGTGTCATACCAAACTTGTCTTGTCCGAAAAGGGAAAGGACGAAAACATAGAAATTCAATGAAATGAAAAAATACGTATCGAATTGAAATTGTGTTGTCATCATCAAATTTGTGCAAAAGTGCCCCCAAAAAATATGTCATTTATTTAGTTGAGGAGTTTAAGATACACTCAAAAATTACTTTATTAGATTAAACTTTTATTGAAACATATAAGAGAAGTTCATTTTCAAGAAATGAAAAATTTTTCTAAGAATACTATACAACTCCTTTGAAGTGTTATTAAAAATCTCTTTCTTAATGCATTGAAATTATACAACTACGTATTGAAATTCTACGGACTAGTTTTCAGTGAACCTATATTCATCACCAATTTCCTAGTGATATAACATAACAACAGTGCGTCATCTGGGTCCTTCAGCACAGTAAAGTAAGTCTTAACAAATTTTACAAAAATGAATGTTTCCTTACTTTTTTGATATCAGAATACAATCACCATTAACCTAGTTGTGATGAGTAAACATAAATAGTAATATAAACCAATGTAAATGTTAGTACTTTACAATCAAACCATCGTTGGACATACTCGAAACAAATGTATGGTGAGCCATTCATTTAATTCAATTAATTAAAAATAATATATAAAATGAATTTTTGTTGTTGTACTTTACTACTTTGCGAACTTCTATTTATTTCTGCTGTTAATATAAAACTATTAACCATACACACCATATCTCTTGAATTATTTGTAAAAATTGTCTGGCTTGCCCACGATTAACAAGGCTCTACTGTGCTGTATACTTTAAAACATTCAACGAGGAGTCTATATATAATAGTTCTATAAAATGTCAATTTATTTTTTTCTTATGTGTTCAGTGGCTCAAAACTTACATTAATAGGCTTATGATAAGAGCAGTGTAATATTCACTATACAGTGAACTATACACTGTACCAGACTTACAGGTGCTAGGTAAGTTTTTATTCATTTATAATTAATTTGAACCATACTAAAATTAAGTTAAACCTTTAGGGTGGATCTCTCTACCTTCTATACTATTACACACAAAAAATCCCCAAGCTTTGATTTAATCTTTGTTGTGTAGAAATCGTGATATGAGAGATATAGGTATGCTTATGTGATATGAAAATCTATTCTGTGGTCAAAATTTGTACTTTTTTTAATATTCCCAAAAAAAATTTATAAAATGAGACTCATTACTCATATTTTTTGCGCATTTTAGCTTGAAAAAATTTCGTTTTATTTCAAAGTTTTTGCTTCTACTTTAATAGAATTTTGCTACTTTTACACTCACCTCTTCAATGCAAGTTAAAAATTATTATTTTGTTAGTTAAAAGTCGAAAGTAGGATGATTTAATATCAGAAGAACAGTACCAAAAACTGCTACTAAAAGCAACTTTAAAAAAGATCAAAAACAATAAATTTTCTCAATAATCATGTCAGCATAAAATGAAATATTTCAGCTTTTTTAGTGATTTTTTATTCCATTTTTTATGGTTCTGTACATCTTTTGTGCAAAAATTTGTGTAGAAATTTTCAAATTCAACTCACGTTTTGGCAGTTTGCTACAAAAAGATACAAAAATGCGCACATACATCAAAGCAACTAAAGAAGAGCCAAATTTCCTCATTCTTCTCGGTGACTTTTTTGTTGGAAATGCAGTCATGCAACCAAATGTGCAATATTTGTATAATTTTACTGCATTTTAATCATATCAGAAGTAAGCAACATATAATCTTGTATCGAAGAGTTGCTCTAAAATTTGCCAGCAACAGAGCGCAAGGAAAGATATGTCCTTTCGCTGTAGGAACAGCAATTGCTGTTGAAATGCGAATTGAAGTGGTGCCAAAACGACGAAGGATTTCAGAGTCATACCAAATTGAATAGAATTAAATTTAAAAGATTACATAAATATTTCGTAAATTCAAGTTAAGTAAGTAACGTTTAAAG